CCTAGATTTATGTTTCAATGGACCTACCTTCACTTTTGTATGCGTGTGTGAACAGTGTTGTCTGCTGGACGTTGCCTCTCAAGTCATAAAAAGAAATACCAGCCTCTTTGCTAAGAGAAGCCCTGTAGTGGAAGTAGTGGAGTCCTATGAGCGTAACAGAAAATAAAATTCCACCTCCGACAGAGTGAGTGCTGCCAACCAGACACTATTTCTACATGAAACCCTATCTCCTCACCCACCTACCCCACAAGGCAAAGAGCAGAAGATTTCCTCCTGTCCTTCCAGCTCATCCTGGTTTTGCTGTCCACATGGCAACGCGCCCACGGAAGCCCGGCAGTGGCTGCAGTCCCCATTCTGAAGCCCTGCCCGTGGGTCAGGCGGCCAGGACTCTATGCCCTGCAGCTCTCACGGCAGCAGAGCAGCTGAAGATCAGACATCAGCATCATAGAACAAAGGGATGGAAGGTGACAGTCTGGGAAGCACCAAGGAAACCCATTTCCCAGCAGGGAACACAAGGAGACTGGCCCCGGAGCAGAAATGGAGAACTCCCTCTAAACATTGAAAGAGAGGGGTGGCAATTAAGGCACAGGATTAGGAAGTAGGAGAAGAGGCAGAATGCAAAGCTTAAAGCCTCACTTCAAATTATTTCGGACACCAGATTCAAGGCGACTTAAAGCAAACTGAATTTTTAACATCAAGGTGTGTATAGGATCAGTATTTCTAAAAGCAAAGAAGTAGAAATAGAAAAGTGAATTCTACCGTCTTTGAAAGCAAAATTCAACAGCCTTTATCAGCCTGGAGGGTAGGGGGAGAAGAAAGGGAAAAGAGAGTGAAAATCAGCTGTTCCAGAGTTCTGTTCACGCTCGCTTCATGCTCATCTTGGATTTTCCAAAGTTCATAGTTATGATCCCAATGTGAACATAGGCAACAGAAAAATGTCGCATAAAACATTACAACTTCCACTATAAGACAGAAGAGAGAAATCAGTGCCCAATTCTCTCTCTTCCACACTACATTGTTATGAAAGTACACAAGTCCACACAAAATGACAACCTCACATAGCTGCTTCAGAAGTCAGTCAGATTTGGGGAGGAAATATTGTTACCAACAGAGCACGTGGAACCACGTGGAGCAATTACCAACAGAGCACGTGGAGCAGCTGATGTCAAATTTTACCTCTGAGACAGAGCAGGTCAAGGGAGAAAAAACTAGAGAGGCTTTGATCTTCCTCCCACTGTCTACCTTTCTTTGAGCAGAGAGGTTGCCCAGCCAGAAAATCAGGTAGCTGCTCCCACACAGGAAGGACATGCTTCCTGAGGCTGGCTGGGTGCCCCTGGCTCACTCACTGCTCTCTGCCTACCCTCTCCTGAGATTAGACCTCTACTATATTATAAAGGGCAACACTAAAGGAATAGAAGGGAAATGAGTCACTGCATTCTGGGACATGAAGAAGGTAGGCAGATATGGGGAGAACCAGGAGCCAGGATCCTAGTCCTCCCTGGCTTTTGGGTAACATTGGTCATGCACCATTCCTGGCAGCAGCAGAAGTCTGGGTTCATTAGCATCACCCATGGATAGGTGCAGTCTCTGATGGCCATGAGATCAGGACCCAGGAGCAGGAGACAGCTTTGAGGTCCAGTAATTAAAAACTCAAATGACATAGACATAGACAACAATATGCTGATTATCAGAGGGAAAAGGGTGTGGGGGAGGTAAAAGAGGGTAAAGGGGGAATAAATGGTGATGGGAGAAGACTTGACTTGGGGTGGGGAACACACAATACAATATGCAGATGATATATTATAGAATTGTACACCTGAAACCTACATAATTTTATTAACTGTTACCCCAATATATTCAATAATAAATAAATAAAAACTCATATGAATACATTTGTTACCTGTATTTACCACATTTTTTAAAAAACTCAAATTAGTAAGTTTTATGATATATGTATTTTAACACAATGATTTTAATTCAAATTTTTAAAATATAGATACCTGTATAAGGGCTATATGGTTCAGCCTCTCACGTGGTTTATTCTCCAAGAAAGGAAATTTCTTCCTAGTGGAGATGATGAGGAGTTCTAAAGTGTCCTGTCTGAGAGCAGAAGGCCCAAATGAGGCCTCTTGTTGGGGGAAATCTAAATTAAAAACAAGCCAAAAATGCCCTAAAATAAGCCCTGGCCAGTGTGGCTCGGTTGGTCAAGGCACATACTGAGGTCTCAGGTTCAGTCCCTGGTCAGGGCTTGTAAGGTAGGCAGCTGATTGACATTCTCTCTCTCCCCCTCTTTCTCTCTCAGCAATAAACACATCTTCAGGTGAGGATTAAAATAACAATAAAAGCAAGTCCCCCCAAATCATAAAACTTATAAAAAGATTATATAATTTAAGGGAAGAATATTGTTCTTATGGAGAAAAATGCTACTTTTGAAAAGTGTGTACTATAAGAGAAAAAAACTTTTAGAAAGCATTTGCTTCACATTCTCAAGAAAATATGAAGAAATGGAAAAGATTACTTAGATGGTGAAGTGTAAACTGATGTGATAAGGTCCAGGCTAAAAAAAAAAGAAAAAAAGTGTAAAAAATAAAAATGTAATAGATTTACTGTTTTACATAGGGCCAAACAGAGAATTGACACTACAGAAAAATAATTCAGTAATGTAGAAGACAAATTTGAGAAGCCATTCCAGAGGGCAGAAGAAAAGGGACAAATTAAGAAATTATCAGTAGATAAAACAACTATGGGACATTTATGCAATGGAATATTACTACTCAGCCATAAAAAAGAAGAAAATTTTACCCTTTGCGACAGTATGGGTGGACCTAGAGAATATTATGCTAAGTGAAATAAGCTAGTCAGAGAAAGACAAATACCATATTATTTCACCGGGATGTGGGATCTAATGAACTGAACTAACAAGCAAAATAGAGACAGACTCACAGATAGAGAGCAGGATGATAGCAATTTGTAGGGGGAGGTTAGGGGGTGAAGGGATTGAGTAAGAAGGAAAAAGGACTCATGGACATGGACAACAGGGTGGTGAATTCAGGGCGGGAGGGGAGTATAAAGGGGTTAAATTGTAATGAAAAAATGCAATAAAATTTTTCAAAAAGAAATTATAATTTCTTTACACAACCAAGTAGTATAGATTAAATTTTGCATCCCTGCTATATAATCAAAATCATGTATGATAAAAGAGATATAAAATAAGTCAAAAGATAGGTTTTAAAAAACACAACAGAATGATATAAATTTTAAAATCTTAATAAAATGGACCATATTCAGGAAAAATAATATAAATTACATATATTAGCTCAAGAAGTATGCCAAGTAGAAAAGAAATATGCCAAAAGAAGCTGAAAAATTCATCAAAGAATTACCTCAAAAAAGGGCCTAGGACCAGATAATTTAATCAGGACATTCTTTCCAAGTTTCCCCAAGAGTGTGTAACAAACTCTTTGGGAAAGTGTAACAAACTGTACAAGGACTTGGAAAAGAGGGAATGCTCCCAGTTCATTGGAAAGCTAGGTTACCTATAGTATACAACCCTGCATAAGATAAACACATAGGCCAATATTTTTCTCAAAAGCTTTGTTACTCCAGGATTTCTTAGTGCCTTTAATATGCTGTGAAATTCCAAGAGGAGAGTTGTGGGAGGCAGTGTTGTTCTGGCACTTGAAGATTTCTTCCAGGCTCCCCAGACCCTTCTTATGACCAAGCAGGAGCCACACGGGGCCCTTGAATCATTAAGTCAGAAGATTAAGATGACCCAAGAGCCAGGACTATATGGAAGAAGACATACAAGAAATAAATAGAGGAAAAGAAAAGGAAAATACGCTGCAATATACAAAACTGCAATAATACAAATGCTGAGGCACAAGAACATTCTGCTGGTAAAATGTAATTTGATTCAACTCTACTAGGAAGCAATTGGCTGTAAGCATGTATTTAGAGCCTAAAATACCCTTAGTCTTTGACCAAAAAAATCCAACTTCTAACAGTCCATCCTGGAGAATTGACTTAATATGAAGATTTACATACAAGAATGTACTTAATAGAATTATTAATAGCGAACAAAGCAAAACAAAACAGGAAATGATCCAAATATCTAAAGCTGGAAACAAATGGATTATGGCACATTCATATGAAAAATCAGGCAACAATCAAAAGCAATGTTTTTGGAAAAAATTTAATGGGGGCTGTGTGTGTGTGTGTTTAATTATTTAGGATAAAAGGCAGAACACAAACTACAAAGTATAATCTTAAGTATATATTTTAAATATATGTATATAGGAAAAAATACTGGAAGAATATAGACCAAAAACTTAATGTGTTCTCTGTGTGGTGGAACTCTGAGTAAATAGAGTCAATATTATTTTTATACATTTCTCATATTACCTAACTTTTTGCACCAAGCATGTATTACTTTTATAATCAGAAAATGATAAAAACCAAAGAATTATTGAACATGGATAAAATACTCATGTGAGTGAAAGAGAACAATTTTAAGTCTCCATTCACTAAAGATAGATATACATTCTCATCTAAATGTGACTCTTACACAGGTACACTTTAAAGCATAAAGACAGAAGGCAAACCAACCAAATCCCCCAATAAAGACAAGCTGAGCTGCTTCTCCCAAAGGTTTTCATGAGCAAAAGGGGAATTGAGTACCCATCTCTTAAAGTGCAGCTTCGTTTGGATATCTCCTGGTTCCAAGAACCAAAAGAACAGCCTTTAGAGGGGAGATTCAGGGAGTGAGGAGTTACAGGCTCAAGTGTGCTCTCTTCCTCTTCTCTCTTCTCTCCTCTCCCCGTCTCTTCTCTCTCTCTCTCTCTCTCTCTCTCTCTCTCTCTCTCTCTCTCTCACACACACACACACACACACACACACACACACACACAGAAATCCACTCAACCGTGTCATCCTAGCTACACAACTCATAGCGAGTCCTGCTCGTGCAGCCGCGCCCCATCCCCGCAACACACCGCAGGTACCTGTTTGTAGAGCGCGGCAGCTGGATCTCCGAGCCCTTGGGCGTCCTCAGGGCTGCGGGGATGCCATGGGTGGCCTCCCTGCTTTCCTCTGCCATGAGCCTGCACAGCCAGGAAAAAAACTAAGTTATTACACCTCGCGGGGAGCGATTGACTGGCAGGCTGGGCACGGCGCTCTCTACCTCGCCGGGACCTCCCTAAGCACCTCGGCTCCCAGGGGGACCCCCGAACCCCGGCGCCTGAAGAGGCTCAAGGCGGGAAGGAAAGGGAAGCACTCACTACCATGGACAGCCCAGGACACTGATGCGGAACCCGACGGCAGGTCCTTCCCTCGCCCAGAACGATGAACACTGGGGCCCTCTCAACACAGACCTGTCCCTCTCAGCCCCAGCAAGTGCCCACGCGGTTCAAGTGTCGCCCCTCTGGTGCCACCCGCCCTCCCCTCAACTCATCCAACCCTACCTCCTGGACTACCCCATCACTCCCCGTCCTCAGGCCACTGCTGCCCCTAGGTTCATCCTCGCAGCAGCCAAAAGTGTACGCTGCCCAAGTCAAGCGGATCGGCGGCTGGGGCCCCGGGAGCGCACAGCAGAGCGCACGGCGGGGTGCTCAGCGGGATGCGCGGAACCCGCGGTCCCCGGAGCGCAGCGGGTGGGTTACCTGGGGCGAGCGGGCGGGTCGGTCGAGCCCCAGAGCAGGCGCAGCAGCAGCAGAACGCTGGCGAGCAGGGCGAGCAGCGCGCCCCCCGGCCGCATCCTGAGCCACGGGCGCGGCCGCCGCCGCTGCCGCTGCCCCGGCGACACACAGCCCGGGCGGCCCCGACTCGCGGCTCCTGCCGCGGCCGCCGCCGCAGCCACGCACACCTCCAGCGTTCACGGGCGGCGGGAGAGGAGACGACAGCGCTCGGCGCGGCGGCACTCTCGGGCGCCCCCGGCCCAGCCTGCACTGTCTTTGGGGGCCAACGAAGACGCCGCGTCCCGGCTCTTCCACTTCTCCCCACGGCCCTGGACCGCCGAGCTCAGCGCTCGGGTGGCAGTGACGATTCGCCAAGCTCGCTTCCTCGCCTCCCGGAGGCGCTCGGAGCTGCTGCCAGCTCTGGTTGCCGCCGCTGCCGCCACCGCCGCTGCCGCCGCCGCGCGGGGTCACCTGAAGGTTGGGGCCCAGGAGCTCGACTCCGTGCTGATTGGACTCTAACTTTTCTGTGCCCTCACCTGCTCCTCAGTGCCCACGTGCTTCTCCCCGAAGCCCACGCAGCCTACCCATGCACATCACAACTCTGTCGGCGTCCCTGCGGTTGACAGTCAGGGTTTACAGGGTCGGAAGACGCGGGGGAAAGGGCCCACTTTAAAAACTTTGAAAACTATGTAGTCGCTCTGCTGGATCGCCCTACACGTGAAGACTGCCACAAACTTGGCAGTTGTTGGATTCCGGCGTCAAATAGGAGGAACCTCCCCTGGCTTAAATGTAGAATCAAAGGCACAGAGAATCGATTTCTAGTTTTATTGAAACACCTCCATGTCCACTCTTTTGTACCATCAGTGGCTACTGTATGTGACTGTATTATCTATGGCAGCTTTCATGTATGGTACAACGGCAGACTTGAGCAGTGGTGACAAAAATCATATGGCCCACAAAATTAAAAAGTTATTACTAGCTGTCCCTTTTCGGAAAACGTTGCCAGAACCCTAATCTCATCATTTATTGCAAGGGAGTGATCCAATGACAATGATATAAGCTGGCTCCCCAATTATTTACTGGGAAGAGGGCTTCTCCTCCTTCAGCCCGAAGCCACCCTGTCTACTTGTGTAGCCCACAGACTTCCCAAGCTCCCCCTTGGCCACCTCCCCGGGTTTTGCTCCAAACTCTGGACCTTTGAGGAACATCAATAAACCCTGAACTCCATGAAGTTTTTTATGGGGGCTCATTAGACTATTCAATCTCCTTTTGGATAGATTTTGAGATTTTTCAGAAACAACCTTTGAACGCTACCATCTTGTGAGTACCTTGATAAAGGTACTTTGAAAGGCTTTAATGAGTTAGCTTTCCTAAGCAACAAAAATACTCATATTTCAACTGGAGTCTCCTAGGGGCATAAGGTCTTAACCTGGAAGACCAGTGCGAGAACATTTTGGGGAACAAGTAGGCCAGACAGCTCAACAAAGCTGCTGCCAGCAATTTTGTCATTTAAATTCTCTTTTTGCTAGTTCTGCATTTGTTCTAATTAAAAATATTTATTCAAAAATATACCAAAACTTTGCACTTAGTAGTTGATCGATAAATGTTGGTCAATGAATAAAACACCTCAGAACTATACACCAACAAAAATACCTCACATCTAATGCTATCCTTAAAGAAAAAAAAAAAAGAGCAAAAACTGAAAATAAATGTGACTGGAAATAGCTCACTATTGTTGTTAAACTATATACAAATTAATAAAGAAAATGTTGCTACTTTTATGTAAGACTGATGTTTTTAGAGATCCAGCTGCTTATCTGAATATGGTATAATAAAGTAATGCTATATTCAGTGCTAAAATAATAAAGTAATCCAATTCTACATGTTTGAAAGTTTAAGCATTCTGTGAGATAAGTAGGATAGAGCACAAGTACCTTGAAAATGAAAAATCTGGATGAGGAAGATAGTCTGACTGAAAAAGTTGTGTGGATTGGGAAGATAGTCTCAATTTTTTTTCTCTTAGAGCAGAAAAGAATTGTGCAGACAACTGATATTGGAGATGGTTTGCAGAAAAAGAAAAGGGCATTATTGTATCAACCAGGAAGCAGCAATTTTACCTAATTTACTAAAGTTTAATATTTCAGCACAGCTGGGCTCAAGGCAACAACAGAAAGCCTGCCTCGCGCCGGGCTCCCTCAGCACCCTTGCTGAAAATGAAGTAACTTTTTATCAGGCCAATGGCTATCAGCAGGGGACTCACAAAAGCCCATTTTAATTGGAAAACCAAGTGTAAATTTGCGATGGGAATTCTGAAATGAGTACTAAAATTTGACAGTAGGGAATTTTACCGCAAGCTTTGAAATTGAAGACTTGGGTTGGTAAAATATGAATTATCTTGCTTTTCCTTGAGAGATAAAAGAACTTGACAAAAATGCATTTCCTAAATATTATCAGCCATTGAACCAATACTGGAAAGCTCTACACTTGGTATCTTAACATTTGCAGGTTTATCAGCACCACAAAGATCTATGCCATGTAGTAATTTGAGATACTACTGAGACTCAGAATAGATCCAGAGACTAAGGCTGATGGGCAGAAGCCCGAGTCGATGCATAAACCTACCTTGCTCACCCACTCTGCCCAGCATTTTCCTCTCATTTTTCCTATACTATCAAGAATGCCTGCAGTTTTATAAAATAACTTTTCATCATCAAGAATGGCCTTAGTTTTAGAGAATAACTTTCTAAAAATGATTGGAAGGTTTTGATATATACAAAATGTCCAAGTAATTAAAAATTTTCCTGGAAGTTGGATTTCTCATTTTTGGTGTAAGGATTTAAATATTTCCATATGCATGGATTTAGGGATCATGAAAAAGAATCAAGTGTCTACTATATCTACCAGTATTCACCAGCAGGAACTCTCAGTATAGGGAAAGGAAAGAGTGTTCTGAAAAACACAAAAATTTGATGCACCAAAGAATCTTTTCCTTCATTTGGGTGGCATTTTAATCTCCCTGTCTAGAAAGAATGGTTTCTGATGTTTTCAACTGCTTGATTGGTTTTAGTAATATTAGAGATTTGTGTGGACTGCAGGACAATAGCACATTTATAAATATTAATTATTTCTTGGGGGAGGAAATTCATAAGGATAGCATAACCAAGGCTACCTATTTTCAAAAAAAAATCATAGGATATAAATAAAAGTATAAATAACTTCAAGAAATCAATAACCTTCTATGGGGGTATGTTTTCAAATATGTTTTATACAAATTAGATTTTGCCCAATGATTAATATAAAAAATTGAAGCAATTTCATGTGTAAAGTAGTTTTAATTTTTTTTAATTTATTTACTTTTTAAATACATTTGTCTCTGCCTCCCCCCACCACTTTCCCTTGCCCCCTCTAAAGTAGTTTTAACTTTAAAGATAGAATACCTACAATGACATATAAATTTCATATAGGCCTTATGTATATAAGAAATCTAATTTGTAGTATACTAAAATTACAAAAAAGAATCATTATTCACATAATAAAATAGATTTTTAATGTATAAAATGTTCAAACTTCTAAAACTCCTCTCCCTGAAGTCTATTTAAAAGATCATAAAGGGCTCTGGCCCATGTGGCTCAGTGAGCTGAATATCATCTAACTGAGAAGTCATGGGTTCAATTCCTGGTCAGGGTACATACCTAGGTTGCAGGTCAGTCCTGGTTGGGGCACTTACAATAGACAACCAATCAATGTCTTTCTCCCTCCCTCCCCATCTCTCTAAAATCAATAAACATGTCCTTGGGTGAGGATTTAAAATAATCATAAAGGACCCAAAACAGAAATGGAAACTATTTATCCTGAAACTATAGAATGGCCAAAATCCCATTCTACAAACTGCAAAAATTCCTGCTAAAAGCAAATCAGCCGGAGAAGAATGTCAAGTTCATGACACATCTTTCCAATTTGTGACCTTAGATTTTAGGGGAGAAAAATGAAAAGTTTTTGAAGACCCTACTAACCCTCAATTTGAAAGAGCAAAGGTTGGAAGTAGGTCACAACAAAAATGAGTGGCAATCAATGTGTATAGTTAGGGCTATAAAGATAAAAGAGAGATGCTGACCAGTATCTCTGTTTTCAGTGAATCCAGCTTTTCTAGCCAGAGGAATGATGACGTAGAGATAGTGCTGTTAGGGGAGAAACTCCCAGAAACTCGATTCTTCTTACCTACACAGTAAAGAACTACAGGCCACCAAGCCTATTGGTGTGTATGCAAAATTTATTAGTGCTAAGTTCTAATGGTAAAGCAAAAGCAAGGGTGGCTAGAACAGGAGTAGCAAAAGCAGGGTGGCCAGAGGTCGGGTGACCAGCACCTGGGTGTCCAGGGGCTCCCCGATGTGACATAAAGAGCCAAGTGGGTCAAGAGGCCATGAGAGTGAGTCCTTTGTTCTGAGGAATTATATAGCTGGTGGGTGGGGGTGAAGAAGTTACATTTTGATTGGCAGGTAAAGGTGGTGCCAGCTTCCCCCAAGGAGATGTGCTGACCCAAACATAGGTATGGATGGAGGTCTGTTAGCCCATGTCTTTATCTTGCTCCAGACTTTATTTGTTCATTTTGCATACCTGATGGGAGGCAGGCAATTAACCAAAATTGTTTATGGGCCCTTTCTTTGGGCACTATAGTTGCCTCCTTTTTTCCCCTTCCAGGCCTTGGGGTAAATACCTGGTCTCAAGGTTTTCCTTTCCCCAGCTAGTGGGGATGATACACACAGGCTTTCAAGGGCTCCCCTCTCCTACACCACCATAGTTTCACTCGTTGTTCGGGACCCCTGGCAGCCTTATTGGAACAAGCTCAGGATTACTGGGTCAACAGGTGAGCTCTTGCTTCTAGCCTCCTATAGTAAGTTCTCTGTTAGGTTGTAATGGTGAGGGCCCTGCCTTTATTTCCTCTCTGGCCTCTCATTCCACCATAAAAGATATACATCATGTAAGTATTACATGCTCTTTTTTTAAAGCATAAGTATAAAATATTAAAAATATTTAAGGATATAATGGAAGAAAACTTTCCTGAAATAAAGAAATATGTGCT